ACCCACACCCACACGCTCTCGAAATTGTACGACACTGATCCTGAGGCGAAACTGGTTCCTCAATACTCAACATTACGGGAGAGAATGAATGTTAACAATACTTTTTTTTTTAATTATTAATCATGTTTAGTAACTATTATCATAAGTCACGTCACAGTACATGACTTACATACAGGAAACGACTAAGCATTATTTTAATACATTTTATTTATCAAATAATAAGTCAATAGCAAACAGAGCAAATAATGTGGGAGCGTGATTTTTATAAAGTTGACGTTGAGTAATCTCATGTTTCATAGTAATAGGAAACAGTCTATGATTAAAGTTATATATCAACAAAAAAATGAGAGAACTTTGACGATTTACCTTAATAGTCATTTGTTCATTTTTTCTCTACAGAATGAACGAGGAAATCAGTATAACTTCTTCAGAAGAAGTTAATGGGACGAAATCGTCTGGGTTTCTACCGCGTAAAATGTTTGGCGTGCAGTTCAAACATGGTCTTAAGTTTATTTCTTCTTTATTATTGCCACTCGTATTAGGTGTCTTCACTTCTATTATCGCGATTCAGCAGCAAAAATTAGCTAGACAACAACGTAATGAAGATCGAAGTGCATCCCAACTACATCTTGAACAAGAGAGAATTTTGAATACAGAAAGATATAATAATGAAATTTTCGATACTTATATTAGGGAGATGGCTATATTATTGAAAGAAAATCATGGTTCACTCACAAACGATAACGTTACAGCTATTGTTGCTCGAGTAAAAACTCTAAATATCTTTCGTAAACTAGATTCACAACGCAATGCTCGAATTATTAGATTTCTACACGAAGCTAATCAACTTCCTGTTTCAGAAACACGTCGTGCAGTGGATTTTTCGATGGCAGAACTTAATGATTCAGAGGTACGTTGTGCATTGAATCTTTCGACGACAAATCTTAACGATTCAGAGACACGTTGCGTATCGAATCTTTTAATGCCAAAACTTAATGATTCAGAGACACGTCGCGCATTAGATCTTTCAACGGCAAAACTTAATGCTATTGATTTTCGTGAATTAGCAGTATACGAAAAATACTTGCAGAACTTAGCATTAACTAACATTTATCTATCGAATGCAATATTTACGAACATTCAAGCAGAACGCATCAACTTTGCTCACACACGGTTCGATAATATAACTTTCTCACGAAGTGAACTTAATAATGTCAATTTTTCGCACAGTCACTTTCGTAATATTGACTTTTCATATGTTCATCTGGATGGTGTTAACTTTTCACATGCCGAGCTCTATAATATGAACTTTTCGAATGCCCATCTCAAAAATATTGACTTTACGTTCGTAAAACTCGATAATGTTAGCTTTTTATCAGCTCAGTTTGACAATGTGACTTTTTCCGAGTCCGAACTCAATAATGTTAGCTTTTTTTCTATTGCACCACGGAATATCAGTTTCGCGGCGACAAGACTTAACAATATTGACTTTTCAAGTGGCTATTTAACTACTGTAGATTTTTCCAAAGCTCTGCTCTTCAATTGCCGCTTTGTAGACGCTACGCTGTTGGAAATTCACGTAGATTTCGCTAGATTCTACGATGTAGTTTTTGATTCCACGATATTTCATATGGTTTCATTTCCAAATAGTTCATTCTTCGGTTCAAACCTGTCACGCATGAAAATCACTGATACAAACTTTGCGTTAGCACAATTCGACAATACAAACATTTCAGATTCTCTATTCGATGAAACAAGTTTCACATTAGCCAATCTTCATAAAGTTAGCTTTTTCTCGTGTGAATTTAAAGAGGCCAATTTTTCATCAGCCATCTTAGGTAATGTTCATAATTATCATTTTTCTCATATAAAATGTCATGTTTGATTACATTTCTAGTTTCAGTTAAATTCAGCCATACTAGTATGTTTGGTGCAGACTTTCGAAAAGCTATTACTAATAAAGTAGATTTTGATTCTGTTGATTTGTCAAATTCTACGTTCATAGGCGCTGATATTCAAGGTGCTTCTTTCATAGGATCTGACTTGAACAACGTTGATTTTTCCGAAGCTAATCTGTATAAAGTTGATTTAACTAATGCTAAGATTACAGAGAAGCAATTACAAAGTGCCATTTCTATTCATGAAGCTTTACTGCCTAATGGAACCCTTGCTCATGATAGCAACTTCCTCAATAATGGCCAAACTGACTGCAATATTTCTTTCAGTGATAATTGGGTATTACACAAAGGCAATATTACGGCGAAAATATCACATATTGATCCAAATAGTTGTTATTTTTTCTTGCGATCATATAATATCGGAGCTATTATGTCTCGACGTGTTGATTTAACAAAGTGGGATTCAGAATCTTGGCCACATTCTCAGGTTATTTTGAGCGCTAATATGAGCATTGGTGTATCGATCCAACTGAAAGTAACTAATAGCACCAACGATATAAATATTCATCCAAGATTGAGTAAGTTCTAGTACAAAACACTCACTAAATGAAATATTCTATATACAGATTCAACTGGAACAAACATCAGCTTTGCTTTGAAGAATGCCATTCGAGAACTCGAAATATTTGTTGAGTTTAGTGCACTCAGTGGTCAGAACAGTGCGGCCAATTATTGGTGTGGTGATATCAAACTCTTTATTATTTATGGCAAATATTTCAAATTCTTAAGAGGTAAAAATCACTATTTTATTAGATAAATAGGGTGTGGATGTGGGAGGATGCAACGCGGAAGAGACTTGACACCGACCCACACCCTAGTTTTTAACGAACCTGAATAATTCTCAATAAAAGATAGTCTCTGAATGAGTTACATAGCTCTTTCGACGAAAAGATGATATATTTTTATCAGGATGATATTCTTAGCTTGTTATTCATGTGTTTCTAGTCATTCCTGAAATTCCGTTGTGGATACGATGGAAACAAGACGGAATGCGTGTTGCTGGAAGTAGTGAAAAAGGCAACGCCACAAATCAGCTCGATGAACCTTATAATTTGTTCATTGTTCAAGATGAAACAATGATAATCGTCGAACGCGAAAATGATCGTGTCATCCAGTGGAAAATAGGCGATAAAAATGGGCAAGTGTTAGCTGGCGGACATGGACCGGGAGATAAATTGAATCAACTTAATCGGCCGAGCGATGTGGTGATCGACAAACGCACTGATAGTTTCATTATCTGTAGTCGAGATAGTAGACAAGTCGTACGATGGTCTCATCACAAAGGCACTATGCAAGGAGAATCTCTTATCAATGACATCAGCTGCCGTGGATTGGCTATAGATGATCAAGAATTTCTTTATGTCTCAGATTTCCGAGAACATGTAGTCAAACGATATCAAATGCCAAATATGAATGGATTTAATGTCGCTGGTGGTCATGGAGAAGGTCGTAATGCGAGTCAACTCAACATGCCAACATTCATTTTTGTCGATCAAAAACAATCTGTCTATGTATCAGACACTAAAAATCATCGTATAATGAAGTGGGAAAAAGATGCAAAAGAAGGAATTGTTGTTGCCGGAGGAAATGGTGAAGGTAATGGTCTGTCACAATTATCATTTCCTAATGTAGTGGTTGTTGATAAGTTCGATACTGTCTATGTGGCAGACGTGGTAAATGACCGATTAATGCGTTGGCCAAAAGGAGCTAAAGAGGGCACTGTCATTGTGGGTGGAAAAGGACAAGGATCAGGACCAAGCCAGTTAAATGCGCCCATTGGTTTCTCTTTCGATCGTCGTGGCAATCTGTATGTAGCAGACAATCAAAATCACCGAATACAACGTTTTTCTATCGAATAAACTTTTGAAAATTCTTGATTCCTTTTTTTCGGTCAAAAATAGTGAGCTCGAATCGTCGTAAGCTGTAAATCCCGAGCTGATCTCATGCCACTCCACACTTTACCATCAAAAGCAGTTCATCACAGTGTTATATCAAAATTCATCATATGAATGCTTACGATAGAACATCCCCCACTGAAGGATGGCTTTGGAGTTCGGACCCTTTGCAGAAGGTAGTTCCCAGTGAGGTACAAAAAACCCCAAAAAGATCAGTGTTCATAGACCTTCTGTCCAGAGTTATAGGTGATATACTAACATTTTAGCCTATGGCATAGTATATATAAATAAATCAAATAACGGTAGTTCGACCTGAGATTTTGCCCACAGAGAGACACATGTGAGAAGAATATCCTCAGAATTTCAGCTGGAAAGAACGTTTCCATCTCGAGATATCAAAGAACGTTCTTTTCAGCTAAAATGTTGAGGGCATTCTTCTCACATATGTGTCTCTCTGTGGGCAAAATCTCAGGTCGAAATATCGTTATTCGATTTATTTAAATATGCCATGTCATAGGCTAAAATTTCAGTATATCGCCTTTAACTCTGGACAGAAGGCTTTTAATTACTCCTAAATAGTATCAGTAGTCACGAATACTCTTGTAATTACTTTTAGTAATTAATGAGGTACCTCTAATTACTTCAAATTAGAAGTCGATAATGTTCAGCTCTAGCTCAAAACTGTTCACTTTTTTCAAAAGCTCTGTTTCTCGAACTGAACTTTATGATGAAATCCTTTCCACGAACACAGAAAGATGTACTGTTCTCCTACCATGCATGGATATCTTTGAATTCTCAAGTCCTACTACAGAGAGTACTCATGAATCCTGAATCAATGAAATGTGCCGGTACTCATAAATACTAGAGCTACTTATTTTAGAAGCAACTCGTTGTAGCCGATAATCTGCTATAGACGCTTCCATAGTAAGAAAGGCCTGGATGACTCAAGAAATCTCCCTGGTATACCACATGAGCACCCAAGTGTTCCCTGGTAAAGCATATGAAGACCCAAGGATACCTTCATGATATAGTAGTGAACGACCCAAACGTGTCCATATGGTACATGACTTGAGAATCCAAGGATATCCCTGCATGGTGTGAGAACAGTACATCTCTCAGTGTTCGTGGAAAGGAGTTGATCATATAGTTCAAGTTATTCAGATGAGCTGCCCATACAGGTCGATTCGTATGAACTGAACTGCTGAAAAAGTAAACAGTTCTGAACAGAGCTGAACTGTGTTGATTCCTAATCTGCAGTAATTAGAGGTATCTCATTTATTCTTCAATATATACTGTTGTTTAATTCATTTGTATGTGAAACACGTGAAGTCAATCTGAATTTAGATATATGGACTGCATTTGAGTGGTAAAATGTGCATGCTTAAGTAAGTTGAAAATTCCGAGTTCACTTTTTTGATCCTTTTTTCCTTACTAAATAAAATATCATAAATCAAAGAAGAATAACTCTTCAAAGAAATGTAATGTTATTTGTATACCGTTTGCGTACACGAAAAGAAGTTACTATCTGTTCAATAGTAACCTGCATCTTGGGAATGTGTGTGGGTGTAGGCATTTGTCTTTTCATACCATTCTCTCACCCACAGACTTACTTATTCACACCCACGTTCTCACGATCACCCACATCCAAACCCTGCTCTATCGTATAGTGGAAACCCTACGTCTCCATCTTGTTCTTATCGAAGGTTATTTAGAAAATCGTAAAGTCTCGTTTATTTTGAAACAAATATTAATCAGAGTTGTTTCTGCCATCATCTTGCCGACGACGATCAGAAATCATTATCATCATCACGATCATATTGCCGATAACGATCAACTTGCCGCCGACGATCAAAACCATCGTTATCACCACGATTACCTACTGATACGTTAATTATATTCATTTCAAATTGATCTTCAGCAGGAGATGCGATAAATCGATGTTGATCGAATGAACGATGATTTTGACTACAATCCTTGCGTTTACTCGGTATAGATGCATCTATAAAAGCCGGTATGGGTTGTCTTTCCGGTGACAGAACTCCCGGTGTTTTCAGATGAACAACTAGTTGAGGCAATATATTGGCACTTTCAAAAACAACTAGTTCATCATAGATTGCATGATCTGTACCCTCGAGTGGTGGACGAAAATCTATTGTAGATTTTTTACCAGAAACTGGTATATAATGACATTGGAAAGTACGATGATTACCACGTCCATAAAATCGAAATTTATCTGGTTGAACATCTTCTGGTGCATCATCATAAATGACAGGAAATGGATTTAAAACTAATACGTAACACATTAATAGGCATGCATTTTTATCTTGTGGACAATAACGTGATGCATACTCTGCACTTGACGAAAAGTACATGCCCTTACCAAACCAACCGTCATCAAGTTGTCCTAATGAAGCAAAGCCTTCACCCAGCAGCTGTGGTAATAGTTTTTTATTACAACCATGCCATACTCGAACAATATTTACTTTTCTATTATGTGTCACTTGTTTACATAAACCATTTAATCGTTCCAATACTTTTTGTCGTTCTCCAGGATTTGATTCTTTATCGAACACTGGTTGAAACACCGATTGAGTTTGACGACTTTCAACAATTTCAATTTGTTGACGGAAAATATTGAGTTTGTCACGATTTTCTACGATCTCAATCGTTTCTAATTCAAAATCACTTTCGAGAGGTCCCATCCAGTTTTTTACGAGCCGAGCAAATGGCCAATGAAATGGATTGGTTTCATCGAGCTCATACGAAGAAACTTTATCACCATAGTTGTGTTTTTTTTTCAAATATTTTTGTTTAATTGGTAAATTGAAATCACCCTGAAATTGTTTGTTTATTTGTAGTATTTTACGCTTTTGTACGATAACGTAACTGGCTACAACTGCAAGTACTAATATACTCAGTACTGCCAGAACAATACCAACAATTAAACCGATATAATTTGCTTGTGGATTTATTGGTTTTAAGCCTATGACACACAAATAGAATCCTGGTTAAGAACTAATTCAAGCTATTGGAGATGGCGGTGAAGGAATGACCTAGTCAATGTGTAGATATTTCAAACTTATCTCTGTTCGAGACATGCTTTGTTTTTAAATACATGTATAGGTGTGTGCTAAAAATACGAATGGAGTGAGAGAGACGCTCAACGAAGTACCATGACTAAGATCCAACGCCACACGTTTTACATGACATTATACCGTTTTATCAGCAAACTATATAGAAGAAGTTTCTTCGTCAGTCTCATTTGACCCAATTGATATTAATTTTTTTTCGAAGTAAACAAAAGAGTGACCTCTCTCTCTAAAAAAATATCACTTCATAATTTGTTCTCCATCTAGGTAATGGTATTCCTAAAGTCTGAACAAATGAAAACTAATTTCTGGTATCCTTGAGTTTATTACCAAAGTTTTCGTTGACCTTGGAATGATTTGAAACAGATCATATTGTTGATCTTTAACTCTACTTTTTAAGATTTTATCATGTAGGCTCAACTACGACGATAAACAACCGACAATATGTTTGATAGTTTTAAACACTTGACAAGTTTTGAAAAAGATTACAGTGAAAGAATCATCTATCTGTATCAGTATTTAACTCAGGAATTTCGAACTTACTGGAGCAAACAGCAAATGTTGCACCTGTATTGTCGGAATCCATCAAAGTCTGACGACAAATTCGAAATTCGATGGACTGAAAGTTATATATTTTTAGTAGGAAGGTGTAGGTTTGATTAGTGATCTCTTCTTGTTTCACACCCACACCCATGCACCGTCGAGAATTTCATATAAAAACGTTATATATAAGTTCTTGAACACTTTCAACGAAAAAAGAATCTCTCAGGATTAATGGTAAACTGCAGAACGACACTAACACTGAAAAGAACTCAACACTTCAGTTAACTTTGAACATCAGACTGATTTCGAAAATCTGTAGTTTGTATAGAAAATGTAAAATAGTTGGAAACTCTGATATAGAAAATTCTATTACCTTGTACAGTTGGTTTTTCAACTTTTGTGTAAATAACGCCGTCCGCAGTAATTAATTCAAGGTCAGTTAATGGTGTCTCTTCTAAAGCTGTTTGTATTTCATCTATACATGGAGATCCACTAACGCATACAAATGGAAGTTGCAAAGTTGCATCAACATAAAGATAATAACTTGATGATGATCGTGCAATGGGTTTTTTCCTTTTAAACAACAATAAAATCAATAAAAACGTGCTCTTTTCAATCATCAATAACCACACTTACCATTTGACTTGTTCAATACTTTGAACAATTTTAGCTTCATATATTATTACATTAATCTGATCAGATACATTGGATAAGCTGTTGGTTATCTTTAATATTAAGAAAGAAATGGTTATTACGGCACTATTGAATCATAAATTAGGAGTATCTTACCATTTCCACTATTTGTGGATAACTTTCATTACTTATAACAGATGACGTTACATTTGATGGTAAATTGATAGAACCTGGCGTTGCAATTGTGTAACTCAATTGAATAGGTAATTCTGAATAAATATGATTACAAGTTTTATAGATAATGTATTTTAAATCATAAATATAGATGAATACCTTGCTGAAATGTCATTGTTGTTGTCGATACTAAACAAAAAAAAGGTGTCGGATAGAACTCTTTTTGGATGAAACCACAGGTAACAGTTTCAAAACTAGTCCAGTTTTATGAAGCACTTTTAGGACTTATAAATATTTTGGTATTTCTAGTTAAAATGTTTTAAAATTCTATGCTTGCTTATTTAGGCATCCACCAGTACCAGTACTCTAATCTAATAATCAATATCGAGTGTTAGCAATTGATGCATGCCTATATGCTTACTAGAACTGAAAAAGTGTTCAGAAAATTGTACCGACAGCCAAAATTTTGTCTAAGATCTTCTTTTTACAGTTTAGATCTTAGAAGAGTATTCATTGTTACCTGTGTGTATGATATATGAGGTTGTTGTGGTTGTTGGAGCCATTATGGTTGTTGTGGATATTGAGTCTGTTGTGGTTGTTGTGGATATTGAGTCTGTTGTGGTTGTTGTG